GGGAAAGAAAAATCAGCTCCTGAAGTTATTGAAGGGATCACCATCAAGGCAGTACATTGGCTGAAAACTCTTGACTTGTTCAAGGATGTCTCTATAGATGATTTGAYTAGAGGYTGGARTATTTTAGSAAKRTCTTCTACTTCATCACCTACCATACAAGCAGTTTGGTCCCCTCCTTTGTAGTGTAATGTCAAACTGAACTTTGATGGAAGCTCTCTTGGGAGCCCTGGACCTTCTGGAATAGGGGGTATGTTTAGAGATGCGGAAAGAAAAATTCTAGCTATGTATTCTGGTCCAATAGGTTTGGGGGACTCACTTAGAGCTGAAGTATTGGCTCTCCTCCAGGGGCTCAGATGGGCCAAGCAATTGGGTTTTCAACAGTGGAAGTGGGGGGGATTTAAAATTAGTAGTAGGTTGGCTGCAATCAAATAGTTTGGGAACATGGTCCCTTAGACAACATGTAAGGGAATTATTGAGCCTCAGAAGGGAGCTGGGTGCACAAGTGCATTGGTCTAGGAGGTTAGCAAATGCTTTAGCTGACTACCTAGCAAAACAAGGGTTGAATCAGGAGGTTTTGTTTTGCGCAGTGTTGTAAGTTATTTGTTATTCAGGGGTCACCTTTTACTTTAGAAGGTGACAGTTGTTCTTCTGGTTTTATCTAATGAAAGTTACCGTTTCCTAAAAAAAAAGGCTACCTTTCAGCTGACTACCTAGCAAATGCTTTAGCTGACTACCTAGCAAAACAAGGGTTGAATCAGGAGGTTTGTTTTGCGCAGTGTTGTAAGTTATTTGTTATTCAGGGGTCACCTTTTACTTTAGAAGGTGACAGTTGTTCTTCTGGTTTTATCTATTGAAAGTTACCGTTTCCTAAAAAAAAGGCTACCTTTCAGTTTTGCCTTCTATCTACAAGTCCCTATGTTAGTGAGTCAAAGAAGATGGTAACTGTGCACATTGTGAGTTGTGAGGGTGGTGATTAATCAATTTTCTTTTGGTTTCTATAGTCTGTGATTGAAGAAGAATGCTATTTGTGACTTTTTGAAGCGTGCAGTTTTATTTGGACAGGTTAGTGAGTGATCTTTATATGCTGAAGTAGTACATTCAGTGTTATTTATGGCCATTCAATGTTTGTGAGGGTAAACTACCAGATTTTGGTTTTGATTATAGTGGTTCATTGAGTGAAATGTGGTTAATGGAAAATTGGAAATGGATTCTCAGTTGGTCGTTATTCTATCTTCTGATTTTCTTAAACACATTTAAATGACTTCTATTAAGTTTATGTGTAAAGCCTATTGAAGTTTTCCTTATAGTCAAGGGAAAATTTACTTGATTGGTAGGGACATTTACTTGATGTAATGGTATTTGAGTTTTGTGCCAAAAAAAGTTGCCATAGGATGGCTGAGACCAACTGGTGAGATACCGCTCACCTTGGAAGCCCCTTCGAGGGTGGCTTAACCTCCTGAAACAGAAAGTGGAGAGGAAGAAGAGAAGGGRAGGTAGGAAAAGAGGGATTCAGTGATAGAGAAACAGGGGATATTCATTCCTGCCTTTCATTGTAAGAGTATGGCTTTATATAGCTGGCCTACAGGTGTAATCATAGAGGGAATATCCTCTGATTGGCAGGATAACTAACTCTGGGAAATATCATGGAGGGAATATCTTCTSTCRGCRGAATCACCCTCTCTGTGTGTAACTAATTCTGAGGCTCTGTCGCCTGTCCCTGAGGCTCTGTCGCCTGTCCTTTCTGCCTCCTTGAGTACTGCTGATGGGTAGTGGCCTGCTTCACTCCCTTTGTTGGGTTCAGGGAAGGTATTTGGGTCCCAACACCAACATTGGGTAATGGTCTTTTCTAGGAAACAAGAATTTGGTAGTTCTATTATTCTAAGTGGGAACAAGAGGATGCCCAGCTTAAAACATGGCTATAGATTTCTATGGAACTAAAGATAACTTAGACTGATTTTCTTGGATACATCTAGCAGATATAGCAGTAGGTGGAAAAAATGTATTTAGGGATTAATGATATTGCTTGTTTTTATCAGTTGTTTCAGTCCTTTTTTCACTCTATAGTGGGAGGATAAGACACTTGAGGACTATTATTCTGAAATGATGGGGTTGTCTGAAGAGTTTAATATCTATCAACCAATTACATATGATATTATTATGTCATAGTTATGCAACATCCGAGGAATGATTTTTATGTGGTGAAGTTTTCATGATGACACACACACACACACAGTACCTTAGTTATCTAAATTTGCTACACAGCCAGCCAGATAGTGAGATATTGACCATTACCAAGGAGGAATGATATCGACTTGTGTCTGCTTCATAGCATCTACTTCGATTGCTACTCTGTGCCCTTTTAGCTCATTTTTTTTCTTTATCAACCACTACTGGACAAGGTTGCATCCAAGTTCCATTTTAGGTTTGAGGGATGTCTACCCCCGGCTTGCATCACTGCAGGTAGTGGTGTGATGTTGCTAAAATTTTGCAATGTTACATCAGTTCCTAAGAGATGGTCTCTGATGTTGCTAAAATTTTGCAGTGTTACATCAGTTCCTAAGAGATATCACTCAGAACTTGTGAACTGTAATATCCAGTACTAACATTACAAGAGGATGTTTTGTAAGAACATGCAAATTTGTTTGTCAATTTCTTATAGAGGAATTAGAAATATAACTATTTTTGGTTCTAATATTACTTATGGAATTATAGTATTAGGAAGTAGCTATCTTTGTTTTTAACCTTATTAGGTTACTTCCTACTTCTAGGAACACTAATATACTAATGATATCTCTTTTTACTGTATAGATCATGTGTTAAAAAGGGATATATGAAAGATGACTACATTCATTTGTTTGTCAGAAGGCCTGTTCGGAGGTCTCCAATAATCAACCGTGGTATGGGTTAATTGCCATCAGAAACTAGAATATCATATTAAGTTGTTTCAATATCTATTTTTAGACTGAAGCTCCTTTTCTGTCATTCTGCAAATGATGTCCTGAAGGTTATTATTCTCGGTGGGCTGCTCTTCGGAAGCTTCTCACTCAGTTTCTCACTTGTGAAATCAATAATGGTGGTGAAGCTTTTATGAAAAAGCAGATATTATCTCTTGGAGCAGGCTTTGATACAACCTATTTTCAGTTGCAGGTTATTGAATTCCTTAGTGAAAAATTTGTATGTGAACTATATTGATATTGAATTGTTGCCACATTCCCTAATGCGTCTATCTGTGTTTTGCTATACTTATGGAGATTTTTTATGCTAAGATGGGGAAGCTGTAGTGGTTACTTGTGCATTAATTCTATGCCTTAATTACTTCCAGAAGTTGACCTGGTTATTTTAATCTGTGCTTGATATAGTCCTTTATGCTCTATATTATGTGCACTAAAGCAAGTATACATATTCATTGGTTTGACTATAAATATTCAATTTTGTTTTACAGGATGAAGGGAATGCGCCATATTTATATGTGGAACTGGATTTTAAGGAGGTGCAAGATTTGAAACATTTGTAGTTATCTCATGGGTTTAGTGGGCAATAACTAGGTCATAATTTTTGGCATGGGGGATGACAGTAGCTAAGTTAGGTGAAGATCGTCTATCATGTTGAAGAAACTTATATCATGTTATGCTTAGCCACTCTATGTGCCAACTTTCTAGTTTGGCTGCAATAGAGTTTTAGTATCATATTAGGAAGCTGAAGCAATGCATTTTATTTACTCTATGGTTGATTTATATTTTTGCTGTTGGTTCATAATATGCAACAAAACGTCCTTTGCTTTTTATTTATTAGGTGACTAGTAAGAAGGCGGCTCTTATAGACACTTGCAGCCAATTGAGGGATACAATTGGACCAACAGCAACCATTTCACGAGGTAGGTGCCATTTAATAGGATTGATATTAAAACCCAAAGTTCTTTTTATCCAAGGCTGGAAGTTGTGAAATCTTACTCTAGGCATTCATGACTGGATCTCATTACCATTTCTGAAATTTCTGAAACATTGAGTTTTTAGTATCATATTTAAAAGTGAATATCTTCTATATTGTATGCACTAATGCAAGCACATGTTCTGCCACTTGATGTGTTGACCTTCAAGTCTTCAACAACTCATGAGATCCCCAACCAAGTCATCTTTCTAGTTTGCCTGCACATTTTTCTATCGGGATCTATAGAGACTGTTTAGGTGATTGTCAATTACTTTGAGCATTGAAGCAAGGAGATGGGTCTCTACCCTTGGTTGAGGTATAATGACATCCAACCAAACTAATGACAAGATAATTGGAGGGGGAATGGAGTGATAGGGGGAAGGGGGTTTCAGAAAATCCTTGAGGTTTAGTTACCCCCAGGTGGTGTTTGGATGAAATTGAACTTTGATGGCAGTAGCTTGGGCAATCCTGGATCTTCAAGAATTGAAGGGGTGATAAGGGGTGACTTGGATGAGGGTGGAACCATTTGTGCGCGGTTTTCGATTCCAATGGAAGAAGGTGATTCAGTTAGGGCTGAACTTTTGGCAGCAGTTTTTTGGGTTCAAAAAGCTAAAGAAATCTGAATCATTGAAGGGGATTTGAAGATAGCAGTAGGGTGGCTGAAAAAAAGGTAAAGGGGTGGTTTGGCAGTTCAGACTGCAGAAGTGAAATTAGATTTTGCAAGTGGCTATCAAAAGATTTGAATATTCCAATAAGATGAGTAAGAAGATCTGCTACTTGTTTGGCAGGTGGTCTGGCAAAACAAGGAGTTTATAAGCAGAAAATGTATTGGGCACAATTGTAATAGAGCGGTGGGATGTGTCTTTGTAATGTATGGTTTATTTAAGTTGTATTCACAACCTCTTGTTGTAACCTTTTTTTTTTTAATTTTAATCAATCGATGAGTTTTTTTTTTTATGTTATTGATCGAGGGGGGGGGTGATGTTATGACTAGGTTTAAGGTAGTAATGAGCAATGTTTCAGCAAGGTGGCAAGGATGCTAGCATGGTCATGGGAAGGGGTGGTGAGGTACAGATAGGCAAATATATCTATTTGGAACTGGAGTTCACAAGGGTGGTGTGGTGAGGAGTTGTGTAAATGCATTGTGCTGGACTGTGAAACTGTTCAATAGTGGGCTGTAGCTGAGTGGGACATTGAGGACCCTTACATCACTTCTGTAATATTTTCTTTTAATAGAATTATTTTGTTGTTGACTGATTTAATTCAAAGAAAACTTGACCAAGGTTTCTGCTGCAATTAGTTTATTTTTGAGTACTAGTGGGTAGTTGAATGAAATTTCTGTGAAATGCATATTTGAATCTTCATTTTAGTTTTCCAAATATAGTATGAGGTATGCACAAACCTTTTACTTGCTGATATTCCTGCAGAAAACTATTATGTCGATCACTACTAGCCTTCTTCTATTAAGAACCATGGAACTGTTCACAAGTCAATGTCAATATTTTCCACTATCCTTTTATGTTATTTAACCAGTTAATTATTGACTTCTTCTCTTTTACACTAATTACAGACAGCCTGATTGTGCAGAGAAAGGGGAGGTACTAAGCGATCATTACAAACTACTTCCTGTTGATTTGCGTGACATTCCAAATCTAGATAGTATTATGGCTCAGGCTCAGTTGGATCCAAGGTGTGTGCATGTGGAGTTTCATTCTTCTAGATGCACTTCAATTTCTATTACAATACTTAATAGTTAATCTGGAATTGTTTATCAATGCCTTCACTATTTCTAGTTGATTTTATATATATATTTCAAATCTTTCATGACATCTTGGATGCAGTTTGATTCTTTTTAGTTTTAATTTTCAAATTGTTAAGAAACTTACAAAATTTGATTATAATATAGTTATAAGAGTGGAACTCTGGAAGCAGATCAAATTAGAAGAAAAGGTTCAAAACAGTATGCTGTCTACACATTTGAACAGAACTAATTGGTGGGGGTGAGCTCTCCGATACACTGAGTCTGACAAACTCTTTTCTAGCAAGAGCATTGACTAGTCTATTTGCATGAAGGTCCTGGAACATATGAAGACACTTCCTAAGTTGGAAGGACTGACCTGTGCCTATCTATAGTAGGGATGGGTGCTGATGAAGCATTGGATTTGGCTGCAGGTGTAGGTGACCTGGAAATGTTACCATAAACTTTGTGGAAGCTCAGAAAATCATGGTGCAAAAGACTGGAGGTGTGGAGAAAATATTAGAGCTGTTGGATTCCTACTTGGTGGCTCAGTTTCTAGATGTAATTGGATCAAACGGTGAGTTGCAGAATGGGCAGATAGAAAATGGCATAAGTTCTGTCCTGTGAGAGTGAGGATGGTGGGATGGGGCGTATTCCTGTTTATGTTTCATATCAAGAAGTATGCTTTATAAATTTTGAATGGGAGTCGGTGTAGTTTCTAAGACTAGAGTTGTAACTAGATTGCTGGTTTCCATTGGCTGGAGGCTTAATAAATGATCGTAACTCAAAGTTGTGGATTATTGTTTCTGGGAATGTGGTTGCAAGTCCATTGCCGGGGTGACCAGGGTTCAAATCTTGGAGCCTCTCTGTGTATATGCAGGGGTAAAGTTGCTTACATCTGTCCCTCCCCAGACCCTGCTTTGGCGGGAGACTTGTGTACTGGGCTGTCCTTTTTAAGTTTATTGATAAGAAAAAAATTGTCATGGGTCGAAGTTTGTTTGGCAAGAATTCTAGTTACAGCAGACAACCTGGATCAGATTCCAATTTCCAATAGATGCTGACCGGATGTTTGCTATCATGCTTTGTGAACTACAGATTATGATTGAAAAAAAATATCTAATCACATTTGCCTTCAATCATTTGATTGTGTTTGATAAGGAGAGGAAAGAGGAAGACAATGATGTGGTTGCATAGTTTTCAAGGCGCCAAGGCGAGGCTGGGCATCAGGGGGGCGCCTAGTCCCCTAGGCGATGGATTTTTTTATATAGAAAACATAGATCCTAGGGTAGTTCCCTAGGTACCATAGCCATATTAGCCATATTTCCTTAATAATTATTCATAATTTTCATAAGAAAAGTATAGAGTAAATGTTAAAGTATAGAAAATCAACATATTCATGAGAAGAAAAAAAAGAAGGTAAAGAAAATTCAAAAAACATAGGGGCTGAACCCTTATTTTTGTTATAGGAAAAGAAGAAAAGAAAATAGTAGTAGTGAGTAGGAGTAGTAGTAGCGGTAGTGGTAGCAGTAGTAGTAGTAGTAGCGGTAGCGGTAGCAGTAGTAGTAGTAGTAGCGGTAGCAGTAGCAGTAGTAGTAGTAGTACTACTACTACTTGGCGATTAGTACAAAACTGCTTGGCGATTAGGTGAGGCGAGCCTCAAAGGGTGCCTTGTCGCCTAGGCGCTCGCCTAGGCGTTGCCTTGACAACTATGTGGTTGGTTTCAAAGGTATTAAGTTAATTGTAGGTTTGTAGTTCATAAGCGGGGGCACATGGTTGGTGTTAGAGGTGAGAATCTGAGATTTGGTTTTCTGGGTAGAAATTTGGTTTTAGGTGGGTTTTGAATCATTACTATGGGGAAATCGGAGACTTTTTTAATAGAGACAAGTATAAGTGGGTAAGTGGTGGGTTGAATAAAATGAGCAATTTGAGTGAGGAAGATTTTGTCAGCATTGAAAATTTTGTGCTAACCAAAGTGAATTTTAAGGAAGAAGACAGTGAATTTTAAGGAGGCATGTGAGGAGGTTGGTCTCTATTCTAATTGATGGGATGTGGGGTTGGCCAGGAGTCATTGAAGGTGGGAACTTGATGGGGTCGAGCTTGTTTGAGGAGGCAACCCTATGGTTATATTGTCTCTGGATTGAAAAGAAATAGTTTTTGATTGTCGCAAGTTGCAACAATAGTTTGTTTCATATTTGCAAGGCAGTTGAAGTTTTGGAGGTCATGAAAATGTTTTAAAATGCGGAGGTGTGACATGAGGTGTTCAACTACCTGGAGGCTTGAGGTGTAGTTTAGAATGGAAGAGGTGTTAGCCTCCTGAACACAAGGAGGTGTAAGCCTTTTTAAGAGGGGGATGAGGAGGAATAAGAGGAAGGAGGATCTCACTTTTCTTTATTTTTAAAAAGAATCTTTATATTAAGAATAATGAAGATGCATAACACTAGCTTATAGGGGGGTGTCTTGTCAAAGATGGTGAGCTTAATGAAGGTTGGATGTTGGATTGGGATTTGCACCTTTAAAGTCCATTGACAGCCCTAGTAGAAGATACTGAGCTTAATGAGAAGGTTGACATGTGTCACATGCTATGGTTAGAGAAACTCGAGATACCTATTGAAAGGTTGGGGGTGGATTTGGGTGATACTATGGATGTGAACCAAGGCCTTTATCAGGATTTTGTCATTGTTCTTAGAGGATTCTTTGTCAAAGGGAAAGAGGATTAGTATGATGATAAGAGTTAAGAGTAATAGGAATTTTCAATTATTCCTCATTACCAAATTATTCTCTTGACTAAAAAGCGGTTTATAGGGAGCTGGTCCGTTAAAAAGGGTCTGCAAGAAGGGGTTTGGGGGGGGGGTTGGTAGTTAAGGGCAACAGTTGTATCTCTGGTCACTCTAGATGGTTGTTTGATATAGCTGATGAATTTCTTTTCTGATTTGACATCTAATAGGAGATCAGGTGAAACTGTAGGAGATGTAAATCTGCAATGGTGCTGCCCCAGATCAATGAAAGAGATGTTAGAAAGATGGAAACTCTTGGGCATGTCCAGAAAAGGAAAATTTTGTTGGTCAACAGTTCCAGCAACAATTTTGTGGGCCATCTGGTATGAAAGGAATAGCAGAACTGTTGAACAGAAGCCTAATTCAGAATTGGGGGCAGTCAATGTGGCAATAGAGGAACTAAAGAGTTGACTGTCTGTACACAAGGATGATGTGCTTTCTGCTTCTTTTTTGAGGGTGGGATTTTTTGGGGGTCCTAATTCTCAGAGTCAAGTCGGGAAGAGAGATGGAAGAGAGGAAAGAACAAACAGTTTGGTGGGTGTTTCACCTTATGACTGTTGACACCCTAAAAGAGATATTTATATTAAAGAAAGTAAAAGGACAAATCTGCCCTTAGTGTACAAAAGAAAGAGTATAGAAAATAGATGTACAACAAAAGAAGTAAATGTACAAAAATAGCCTAGTGGCTAGATCTTCTCATTGTCTCTACACTCTCCCTCAAACTGATGCCTAGGAATAAGCATAAGTTTGTCCACGAGAAATAGATGCTGAGCTCGAGTCATTGCTTTTGTCAATAGGTCTGCCAGTTGGAGCCTGGAGGAGACAAAAGGAAGAGATATAGCACCCTCAAGAAGGAGATCGCGGATGAAGTGGCAATCAACTTTTATGTGTTTGGTGCACTCATGGAAGATAGGGTTGGAGGCAATTTTGATTGCACTGACATTGTTTGAATGGAGAGGAACAAATGGTGATGGTTCATTAAGTATTTCAAGTAGAATTGCTTGGAGCCATATGATTTCACTACACAAGGAAGACATAGCTTTGTACTCAACTTCAATGGAAGATTTTGATACAATAGGTTGTTTCTTGCACTTCCACGAGATAAGGGAGTTGCCTAAGAATACACACCAGCTGGTAGTGGATCGTCGGGTGTCAGGGCATCTAGCCCAATCAGCATCCGCATAAGCCGTAAGGTTTCTGGAAATGAAGAGGAGAAAAAAATCTCATGTGATAAAGTGCCCCGTACATATCTAATGGTCTGATGAACTATAGATAAATGAGGTTGTCTTGGAGAAGACACGAACTGGCTCACCAGTTGAACTACATATGATATATCTGGTCGAGTCATGGTGAGATATAGATTAAACTCCCCACTAGTTGACGATAAACAGTAGGATCTTCTAGAAGAGAACCATCACCTTTGCTGAGTTTCAAATTCAGTTCTAGTGGGATATCCACAATCTTGGACTCACTGAGATTTGCCGGTTTAACTAGATCAACCACATACTTTTGTTGGTTAACAAAATAGTCCTGAGAGTTTCGACTCACTTCAAGCCCCAAGAAATATGTCAGAGGCCCCAAGTCCTTCTTCTTAAAGGATTTACTGAGTAACTGTTGCAACTCAGTAATTCCTTCTACAACATCCCCTGTAATGAGTATTTCATCGACATAAAGAAGTAAGATCGTCACTCCCAGCTTCCGCCTTAAAATGAATAAAGAATAATCTGAAGAACTCTGGATAAAGCTTGCATCAATGATACCAGATCTGAATTTTTCAAACCAGGCTATAGGAGCTTGTTTTAAGCCATAGAGTGACTTCTTCAGACGACAAACAATTTGTGGGTCTGTACAATATCCAGGAGGGGGCTTCATATAGATTGTCTCCTTTAACTCCCCATGGAGGAAAGCATTCTTTACAACCATTTGATGGATTGTCCACTGTTTGGCTGCAAATATAGCTATCAGAAGTTGTACAATGGTCATTTTTTCTACAGGAGCAAAGGTCTCCTCATAATCTATCCCATATTCCTATTTATAGCCTTGTGCAACCAACATAGCCTTGTATCTATCTAGGCTCTCATCAGATTTCAGTTTCACTCCCTATGAGAGATGTCTTAGGTGGAGTTTTGACCAAGTCCCAGGTGTCGTTCTCAAAAAGGGCTCGGATCTCAGAATCCA